AAAAGAAACGTGTGATGCAGATGATTTTTCTTTTAGTCTAGACAAAACAGAGAAAAGAAAGAGGGAGCATGCATGGAAAGTTTTTTCATACTATTACTCTTCCGCGCGAGGCCACCAGGCTTTGTTCCCCACCAGCGCAGTCTCATCGTCACTATCATCAGGCTTCTTGCTATTTGCATCGGTGCTCTTCATGCTCTTCATGCTCTCGTTGCCCTCGGCTATGCTCTCCATGCTCTTGCGGCGCGCCATGACGCGCTCCTCGACCACGACGCCACTACCGGATTTAGTGCGATGATGCAGTGCGCCGCTGCCGCTAGTGATTTCGACTTCGGTGCCGTCTTTCTGAAAGTACGGATTGACTTCGCTGCGGATGATAACTTCGCGCGTCTTCTTGATCTGGTTGCCGACGGGTGCGAAGCTGACGATGCGGTCGCGGTCGCCGGCTTTGGTGTCGGCGTCGCAGCTGACGAAGCTGGAGAGCTCGTGAACTGAGGCGCGCTGCGTGCGGTGGTATGCGCTGCCAGTGTGGTGGCCGGTGGACAGTTCGGACGAGGAGCGGAATTCCTGTGCCATAGAGTGCATGCCGGTCTTGCGCGAGGTGGAGATTGCAATGCGCTTGATAAGGTTGGCCATTGTCATTTCGATGTTGAGTTTGACCATGTAGGCGAGCGGATGGAATTGAATATAGCTGTTGCAATGCGATATTAATACAGTGGCTTCCCTGTTTGAAGCTGAAAGTAGACTTACACAAATGAGTTGGGGATGGACATGGCGCCGATAATCATGACGTCCATGAGCAGTGAAACAATGACGATTTTCTGGTTGAAGCGCACGAGTGAGTTGTATTTGGTGAGACCGTTCTTGATGAGGTTTTCCTTGACAGTCTTCAAGAAGAACCAGTTGAGTATGGCGTCGACAAGCAGGTAGAGACCCTTTTCGATACGATCCCAGTATTCGTTGGCAATGTGATATCTTTCTTGGCGTTAGCTCGGGATCTTGAGATTCAGAACGAGGAGTCATGGAGCACAAAGACGCATGAGTCGAATAGCAACTTACGTAGGGTTGACCTGTAACCGGGCTGGAATCCAGATGTTAAACACACTGATGTTGATTGCTGTGACGAATGTAGCTGTTGCGATCATGATCCATCGTCCACGGTTACGATCGGGTACGATGACACGAATACGGTTGATGATGATTTGCAGCAGCAATTGGACCTGAATACACCACCAGAACAGGATGGTGAAGTAAAAGGCGAAACCTGGTCGGATGTCAGCAGAATCTTGAAACTTACAATCAGACGATACATACTTGGACTGATGAACTTGAGCAAATGCAGATAGCATTCGAGTCCCATGACAAAACAGACGGCCATTTCCATCCATATCATCCAAATGTATATACTCCTGAGGGGGGCTCGCGATTCCTTGGTTTGTCTGACAGCCAAGAAAAAGGCGATGATGATGTTGACCAACGTGAGCGCCCATACTGTGGACGCGATGATAATGTCGGATCTTGTGATGGGCTCATTATGGTAGTTTGGTGAGATGAAGGGACCCCAGGCCTTGAACGACGGATTATCCCGGAATTCTTGGTTCATGGTGTGGGGTATTGGGGGTGAAGAGTCGAGAGGACGACTTGAGGACCTGAGAGCTCGCTTGCCAGCAGGATACCAGATATATCCGATTGATGTGTGATAAGAGAAGCTGGCAGGGCAGATGGCAAAGGGTCTGCCAAGTCTCCTCTAGGACTAGGTTCCATCACAGCGGCAACTAGGGGAATGCAGGAGATGAAGCGGCGACTTTGGAAACTATCGAGTCAGTATAAGGTTCCATGCTCTCGTATGCACGCTAAGAGATGGAGCAGCAGCTATCTCGATTGGCCTGGACTGTTACATCTGTGGATTCGATGGAGCCCAACGGTTGATCCTTTCGTTAATCGTGGCGGTCGTCTTGCGACAGCTCCGATGGTTTAAACGTTTTCGGTGAAGTGCCTCGCTCGACCTGCGCTCGGCACGGGTCCCATCCGATTAGCACCGCCCTGCAACAAACCAAGCTGGGATGGGGGAAGAGGAAGGGCATCCCGTTTGCGGGGGATTTACAAAGTTCGCTGATCATTGAGAATCGCCGTTAAAAATGGTCCAGCATGCGTGACACTGGCCGAGGCATGGTGTTCCTGTCTAGGATATGAAGCTTTCGCAATCAAGACGAATCCTAAGCGTGCATTACCATAACCCACAGCGGAGAAGAGACTCAGGGCTGAGTGCTCGGTTATGACACGCGTAGCGGCTCAGTGAGCACAGTCCAAGACGATAGCGCGCTCTGGTACCAGCATCATAGTAGACAAATTTGCAGTGGCTTGTGAAAGAGCTACTGTTGTCTAGCTGCTAGCGGCCTAGCTGGTAGGTGCGGCGAGATCTCCGCGACCGACGATTAGTCTAACATCCATGCTCTGCGGAAGCCTAAATTTGGTTCGCACAAAACTTGGTTGTGGAAGCTCGATGGAGATGAGCGTGCCTGGCAACAAAATGTTGCCGTTTGGGCAAGTTGCTGTTGGGAGCCACGCGACATAATCGGCCAGAGGCTTTTTGTGGCCTGTACCGGCAAACGGTAGGCGCAGGCTTGAGTCTGGATATAGGGCAGGGTACATGTGTAGTACCGTACGTACGTAGACATGTGTATGTAAGTCAGTGGCCATGTGGTGTGGGCACATGTGATCGACGGGATGCATGCGCCATCCGAGAATGTGGGTAAAGTGCTGTTGTCACTATCCATCAGTTCGGTTCTACGCGCGGCAAAGAAAGCAGTCAGGGGCTGTAATATGGAGACGTGACCCACCATGGCAGTTTTCTCCAGGCTGGTGAATGGAGTCGAAGCAAATGTACATACTGAACAAGGCGACTAGCGTAGGCCCAAGGTTGCTGAGGTGCAAGGTCGCGCAAATGCGCCCACAGGGAACATGGGTGCGCGTGAAACACGCTTCAGCCCGGCCACGGAGGAGCCGGCTGGCAGCAGCATCGAGCTCGCCCTGGAAGCGTTACTCGACACCATTTCTGTAATGATATTTTGCTTAGCCAATTAACGTTACTCAGACCCGCAAATCTACAGAATAAGGAGGATTACCCTAAGCATAACCTCCGTCTATAATTCTCTCGAATGCCTTCTAGATCGTAACACGAGAATGGCTGCGCTAACCGAACCAGTGACGCGTCTTGGCCAGCATAGAGTTCTTTTGTCACCTTGTTGTTTCGTGTCCATAGGGCAGAATATGGACGCAGACATGCTTGCAGTTGGCGGGCATGCATACTTGCGGCACATGCACCAAGGCTGTTTGTAGCAAGTAGGTGGTTTCTGGGGAGCCGGTGACGTGGAACCGAGATGGGGAAGCCCTGTTGCGCATCTCCATATACGGAGAAAAAAAAGCCTGCAGACAAGACAAGACTGGAGACAGGCGTTGGGTGGGGACTGGTCACAGCTCCATGACCAGCCCTGACCACAGCAGATCGTGGACCCGGGGAAAATTCAACCTCTGCTGAGTGCCTTCAGCACTGCGTGAGACCATAACGTACGAGTGCATCACACGTGAAGTTTCCAATAAGGTCTGGGCGAGTCGGTCGACTGCCACTATTCAAGTCGGTCGCTTTCTGTACCCGCCATCACGCTCTAACCTCATTGAATCGGCCCTTGTACTTATTGAACTTTCCCATGGCTCACTCGGGGCGCTCCGCCTGAACCTTGATTATCATCCGCGAGCCACCTGAGAAATGTGTGGCGTCCCATTGACCAGCATTATCGAAAGATAACTCAACATAGCCAACCACCCACTCTTCTCTGTCCAGGCTAGCAAAAGCTTCGCCCCGCCGATCTGTATATAGTACTCTAGGGTCCTCACATCGATGGCGTTGGACCCCTCAGCTCTAGAATACTCTAGAGAAGAATTGTATGCAGGCGCAACATGGCGCGATGCATGCTTCTATCCACGTTCGTCATTAATGTTCCCTAAAACCTAAATATTTGGTATTCGGAGATTTACAACATGGGAACCCGGCGCTTCTGCTGCCGGCGTACTAGTCGTAATCCGGTACTCTTTGCCTTGACCAAGCAAGCCAACAACAACGCTGATACCATAATGGCACGCCTGTTTCGATTTCCATTCTTCGCTGAGCTTGAGCTGTGCCTATCTGACTAGACTTGTAAACTCTATCGAGCATCGTGACAGCAGCCATACTGGATAAGTCTAGAAGGCTGCTTCAACAATGTTGAGCTGAGGTCATGTAAACAGCCCAAGACATGTTTCGTGTTCGAAAAGACGAAGTGAAAGAGTCTATTTTGCCATGTCGAAGGAAGCTGAGGTCTCATTTGAACAGAAGGATACCATCCCATGTCTGGGATAGTCGACTTGGACTCTGGCAACAATTTCGGCCATTCGAAAGGATGTTACACATATTCTGGTCGCCGTGTGCTGTCATGGTTTCACCTTCACGGATGGGACATGGGGAAGCTGCCTCAGTGGAAATATTCGAGGGGCATGTATGTGTTTGAATGCGAGACCAACGGGAAATATGACTGATGCCCAGTAGCTAGTGCGGAATGCGGCGTAATGATATCCCGTTTATTAAAAACGGTATCTCGAGTTTCTCCTAGAGAGAGGAGAGCGTTGAGTAGCTGTGTAGGTTTATATATTATAGAAGTATTGTGTACATGGTGGGAATGCACAGGGAGGTGAGAGCAGTGCGGTGCGGGGGGACAGCCCCACTTGGCGCGAAACGTCATCAGTGGCGGCGAGACCTACCAAGCCACACAGTCCCATGCACGGCATTGGCCCAAGGTCAAGCCTGTCGTCCTGAGCACGCAGCACCGTTGGACATTGACATACAACATACGTGCATACACACCCATACATCTATACACACTCACACATCTGCCTATACGTACCAACAACATCTCGCCCACCTCACACACCGCCCCTCGCAGACTACACAAATATCGCCGCGCCCAACAATGTCGGAAAAGGCCAACACAGAAAAGGTGAGCAGGAAGCGACATGCTGCGACGCCTCTCCCCCACTAATGCAACTGCTGCAGCCTCCAGAGAGCCCAACGACCGCGCGTGAGCTCGACTTTGACGACGATAACGATGCCCCAGCTGCTTCAGCCGCCGAGCATACTGGATCACCGCCTCCTGCCTCCAAGTCGCCCAAGCCTGGCGTGCGCTTCAACGAAGAGGCAACTGAGATCCCTCCCCAGAAGCCCCCCCGGCCCGTCGACCCCCAGGTGCAGGCACAGAATACGCTGATCGAAGCTTTCCCCACCGTCGACAGCAATGTCATCAAGGCCGTGCTAGTCGCCAGTGGAGGCAAAGTTGAGCCCGCCTTCAATGCACTGCTGAGTACGTTGGCCGCCTAGCGATGCTCCCCAAGGGGATGTGTACTGACAAGTCTAGGCATGTCGGATCCCAACTTCAAGGCAGAAGAAGCGCCTCCACCACAGCCACCACGACCCCAGCCCCGCAGTCAGCTCGAGCAGGACGAGATTTTTGCGCGCCAACTCGCTCAGCACTACGAGAGCCAGGGTGGCTCTGGCCCCCAACGGCCACGACAGCAGGGAACCCGCCAGCGGCAGGGCGAGTCTGAGCGCGAGTACAGCTTCTTCGATGGTGAGCCCCTGTATGCACCTCATGCGCCTGCTGTGACGGCTAACGGTATAAATTGCAGACGACCTCCCTGAGATCCGCAAGAACATTGAGCAAGGCTTCAAGGAGACACAGCAGACAGTTACCAAATGGATCAGCAACTTCACAAAGAAGCTCGACGGCGAAATGGAAGAATACGATCGGTACGGTAACCCCCAATACACGGGCCGAACCGCGCCCCCACAACAGCGACAGAACTTTGGCCCCTCGCAGTCCGATCAGATGCACGGTATCCGCAAGTCAGCCGAGCAGCGGAGGTCGGCAGACCACAACCGTTACGACGCTGACAACCGGGTCATTGGCGACGACTTTGCCAAGCTGGAACTGCGGGACAATGACTGTAAGCCACTATGTCTCTACATGACCGGCACCACTAATACATAGCAGTGCCCCAGCGATCCTCGAGTCGCCCTCATGCTAACCCCGATCTCTTCAAACCGACACCTGTCTCACCTCCCCAGAGCGGTCCTGTTGACGAGGTTGACGCTCTCTACCGCAACCCATCACCCAGCAACCCGGGGAGCCAAGGAAAGTCAGGCGGCAAGAAGTGGCAGCCTCTGACATCTGTAGCGCCGAACCCAGAACCAGATGAGCATGATCCCTTTAGTCTTGGCGATAGCGACGACGATGAAAAGGACGCGAAGAAGCAGGACACCAACCCTGCCGATACCGAGAGACTGAAGAATGCCGCTCAGAGCAGTGGTGAAGCCCCTCCACCAGGAAAGCTCAAGCCTGCAGAGAGAAGTGGCAGCGTGAGCCAAAAAGACGCTACTGCAGAGGCATTGCTCAAAGAGGCCAAATAAGACGAGCACTTATCATCAGGCTGCCATCAGACTGTCAAAACTCAACTTCAGTCACGTCACTGGTAGGCGTGTTTCAATATATCCTATTTTTGACCCGTAAGCAAGGCCAGAGTAAATGCAGATCGTTTTGTCCGAATGAAATCTGTCCTGTTTTCCATCTACGTTATTGCCTCTTGTTTGTTTACATGGTTCATCCTCTCACCTCTTGTCCCCCAGCCGCCACCATCCTAGTCACGTTCATACCGCCTACCCGTATGGTATACACGTCCCGTCTCCTGATGGAGCGAACTTGTCTCACCCTCCGCCCCTCGCTCTAAGTTTCCTTTGCTAGGCCCATGTTTCGGCATGATTGTCTGAAATGCGCAAGTACGTTGAAAGAGAGTACTAATTGACTTCGTAAAAGTCACTCGCCATGTTCTTAGTACGGCATGCTTACATTATTGTCATAGAATTGCAGAAGATCGAGGCAAAGCAGCACATTTCCCACGTGGGGGTAGATTGATCGTGTGGGGCAGACGGCGGATTGAGACCCACCCACTTTTGACCTGCATTTTGGCAACGGGGATCATCCCGCTACTTGCTGCTTGCATGCATGCAGCGCAGATGCAGGTCCAGAGCCGTCCGGAATATAGGTATTCAGCCTCAGCACCATCTGAGAATCATTTGCGTTCTCACACTTACTGCACTGCATATGCGATTGGTAGGGTTTTACAAACCCTGAATATTCGTACAACCGTGAACGCAATCAACGCCGTTTGCGCGTTATACTTGACCCATGTCAGCTGTGGGGATGGCGCATCATTACACCACCGAATCCCGGGGACCTGGCTCTCGCTGCCTTCTCTTAGCCATGAGATGATCCAACGAAACATCAGCAGGCGCCAACGTCGCATCTCACATCTTCTATTTTACGCCTCGCAATACGAAGGTCCTCTGATGTGAATGCTCAAAATTGCTCGCATTGGCTGCGAAGTGCCGGAACCGCCATGCGGCCCCCTACCAGCTGAGGAATGCGTCAGATCTGACCATTGAACATCTACCCCAGTCAGCTTCAGCCACCTCAGCTCGTACACGTCGGCAGCAAATTTTGTTATCACGTGTGGTTCACGCCAAGCGTGAGCAGCCCGATTGATCCTTCTAGATACGTCTCGGTTACAGCTTAGCACAATGTTCGAATAAGGACAATGGTTCACCACAACGCTACGACACGGCTGTGGTCCCGTGTCTGCCTTGCGCCCCTGGTATGAAGATGACAGTCCTCCGTAACAGTGTGGCTCGAGAACAGTTCACCTAATAGTGGTAAGTTGGCCATTCGAGAAGACAGGTATTGCCTAGGACATTTGGGGAAGACGAGACTCAAAATTTTCTATATATTTTGTAGTTTCCTGCGTTTCAATCGTATCACAATCATCACAACTCAACAATTCATTACAATCACACCTACCACCACGGTTACAATGGAGCCAACCACACCAATTCCGCTCCCCCGGATCGATGAACCAGAAGAGTACAATACGAATTATGTACTCTACTGGAATCATGTCGGATTAGAGCTCAATCGTGTAACACATACCGTGGGAGGTCCTCAGACTGGACCACCCATATCTGCCAGAGCTCTAGGCATGTTGCATTTGGCAGTTCACGACACCTATTTTGCTATCAACCCTTCGGCTGACATCCTGACGTTTCTCACTCCCAATGCTGAGAATGCCGCGTACCGTCTCCCCGACCTCAATGGAGCGGATGATGCTCGTCAAGCCGTAGCTGGAGCTTCTCTCAAGATGCTCTCCTCGTTGTACATGAGGCCTGATATGCCGCCTGCCAACATTTCCGACAGTGCTTATGCACAGCTCGGGCTGGTTCTTGACCGATCAGCTGCGGAAGCACCCGGTAGCGTTGACCGGGCTTCAGCCAGTTTCTTGTTTGGTGAAGCCGTGGCAGATGTATTTTTTGCACTCCTCTTCCATGCACCAGGTGCATCGCAGGAAGGCTACCAGCCTACACCCGGCCGCTACAGATTCGATGACGAGCCTACCCACCCTGTCGTCTTGGTCCCAGTAGATCCCAACAATCCTAATGGGCCTAAGAGGCCGTTCCGCCAGTACCACGCACCATTCTACGGCAAGACTGCGAAGCGTTTCGCCACACAGACTGAACACATCCTTGCCGATCCGCCAGGCCTACGTTCTGCTGCGGACGAATCAGCCGAGTATGATGACTCAATCCGTGTCGCCATTGCCATGGGAGGTGCCACTGATCTCAACTCCACCAAACGCACCCCATACCAGACGGTGCAAGGCATGTTCTGGGCGTATGACGGCTCAAACCTCATTGGCACACCGCCTCGCCAATATAACCAGATAGTGCGCCGTATCGCCGTCACTTACAGGAAAGAAGACGACCTTGCAAACAGTGAGGTTAACAACGCGGATTTCGCGCGTCTCTTTGGCCTTGTCAACGTCGCTTGCGCCGACGCAGGCATCTTTTCCTGGAAGGAAAAATGGGAGTTTGAATTCTGGCGCCCACTATCTGGCGTCCGTGATGACGGGCGTCCAGACCACGGAGATCCTTTCTGGCTCACACTCGGCGCGCCTGCTACAAACACAAACGACATCCCATTCAAGCCGCCATTCCCCGCCTACCCATCCGGCCACGCAACCTTTGGCGGCGCCGTATTCCAAATGGTGCGCAGATACTACAACGGCCGTGTAGGAACATGGAAAGACGATGAGCCAGACAACATTGCTATCGACATGGTAGTATCCGAGGAGCTCAACGGTCTAAGCCGTGACCTCCGCCAACCCTACGATCCCACCGCCCCAATCGAAGACCAGCCCGGTATCGTACGCACCCGCATCGTGCGCCATTTCAACTCAGCCTGGGAGCTCATGTTTGAAAACGCCATTTCGCGCATTTTCCTCGGCGTCCACTGGCGTTTCGATGCCGCTGCTGCCCGCGATATCCTCATCCCCACCACGACAAAGGATGTCTACGCCGTCGATGCTAATGGCGCGACTGTGTTCCAGAACGTCGAGGATATTAGGTACTCGACCAAGGGTACGCGTGAGGGTTGTGAGGGCTTGTTTCCGATTGGAGGTGTGCCGTTGGGCATTGAGATTGCGGATGAGATTTTTATGAGTGGGTTGAGGCCTACGCCGCCCGAAGCTCAGCCTGCGCCTCAGGAACCACCGGTTGTGCAGAAGCCGATTGATCAGGAGGTTCTCATGGGAGTAGAGGACGAGGCTCATGTTCCTGCGGTTAACGAAGCCCCGTAGATGATTGGTGAGTATACTGATGAGTGATGGTGCAGTGATGGGAGACGGGGGAATGCGTTCTTTTGTCCAAGGTCTGCTTTAGTTGCTTGCGGATCTCTTAACTGTTAATATCCTTGTCTGATTATTAATTAACACGCTATAGTCTACTACATATATTGTCATCAATTCCATAAAAAAGAATACACTCTGCTTAACAATGACTACATTCATATATCATTACTTTTATACCAACCTTACACCCTCATCCTCCGCCACCTTCACCACAACAGCACCAACCCCAGGTCCCTTTGCCCAAACCCGATGCGCCTCGGGTACCTGCTCCAACCCCCACACCTTCCTAACCGGCACCCTAATCTCGCCTCTCACCAGCATCTCCAACAGCGCCTCCAACTCCGGCTTATACGTCTTCTGATCCCTGTTAATATAAAAGAACGACGTGCGATACGGACAAAACGGCACTTTGCCCTTGGCCAGCAGCTTTGCAATCTGCAAACTATTGCCTCGCGGTTTATCTCCATTCAGCGAATTCAAGTTGCCTCCATAACCCACAAGATGACCTCGGTCGGAAGAAAGGATACTCCAACTCTCGTCCCAGGAGGCAAATCCCAACGCATCATACACTACATGCGCGCCGCCCATATCTTTCATGACACGCATCCAGTCTTTGTCAGTGTAGACGAACGGCGTGGCGCCGGCTTCCCTCACCGCAGCGTGGTTATGCGCAGCAGCAGTACCGTACACACTCGCACCCTGCCTTTTACAAAACGTCAGCAGCGCGTACCCGACACTACCGCTGAGCCCGTGTATAAACACCCTCTTTCCAGGTGTAATCTGCGCACCGCGATAAGCGAGGCCGTACGCTGTACTCCAATCCAGCACTAGCGCGACGGCCTGTTGTAAATCTACTCCTTCGGGCACCTTTATGAGGTATTTTTCGGGCTGGTTACTGAATGTGGACTGGCCGTTGTAGACACAGAGACATGCTACTAGAGTGCCTTCTGTAAACTTTTTACTACGGGCGCCGTTTTTGTGTACGCGCCCGATGAGCGTGTAGCCCGGGGTTAGAGGGGCTTTTTGTTGGAGAGGGTAGATGCCTTGCCTCATAAGGATGTCGCTGCCGCCCATGCTGGAGTAGAGGATTCTGAGTTGGACTTCGGATGAGGATGGGGGTGGGAGGGTGGTGGTTGTGAGGGTTACGACCGAGGGGTCACCGTGGGTTGGGATGAGGACTTTACGGATTGGGAGGGCCATTTTTAGGTCGGGGGGTTGACGGTGGATGTAGAGAGAGAGGGAGTAGGTTTTATGGTGGATAAGTATGGCTTGGATATTAAAGTACTAGGAAGAATAGTTTTTGGAGTAACTGGACTCGGATACTGGACGGTTGTTGTTGTGATGAAATGCCATTGTAGACTTCCCTTCACTCTTTCTTTGTAGTCTTCGAGTTCATTTCTGGACTGGAGGCCTTAATCATTCCGTGGAGGCGAAGCGTGAGCTGATCTATAGAGAAGGAATCAGCTGCGGGTGGAAGTCCGCAGGTCCTCATGCAACTCAAGAGTCATCTGGATAGCTGTGGCACGCAAATGAGTGCATCTTCTTGGATGGACTTAGTAACCGACTTGTGAAGTCTGATGGGTATTTACCGCTTTGATCGCTAGCGCCTGCTTACCCCTCCTATTGCGTTGGGCTTTGTCAGTTGTCTGAGCCACGCCATGACGCCTCGTGGGGTTCAATATGCGTTTGTCATTGGACAGATTGCGATGCTTACATCGGCCTAAAGGGGTGATTTTTGCTACCCGATATTCATCGCATGATGGCTGTGGTGTTTCAAGATAGCATGAGATTTCTTCTGGTAAGTTTTGCGTTCTGCACCCGTCCCGATTGTCAGCTTTGATCTAGAGAGTGAGCTATTTTCCAGTAGGGCGGTGCCCTTATCTCTTCCTCTGATTAGCCCAAACTTCGTCTCGACGATCCAGTACGATGACTAGATTGATGATCTACATCGTGTCAGCTGCTCATCAAGCATCAATGTCAAGACGGGTATCGGTATCAAGAGGCGCCACGACACTCTTCTTCACCATGCCAAGACATGAACCTTTGTGATAGATGTGGCAGCGAGTTGCTTCTCAACAGGCTTACAGGGCCAATCAGTCAACGGGCAGAGTCTCATATCCTTTTCCACTATGGGCGCGAAGAACTGCTTCTATCTGACTGGCCAATGCATGTCGCGATTGAGTTTAGAAAGCTCTTTCCTGAAACCCACATGGTGTGACTGCTTGGTAGGCAAAATGAAGGAACCTCAATGGCGCTCTCCATGAGTCCCGAACATTAGATCGACAGTGTTGGTTAGAATTTTCGTGCATCGCCGTTTTATGCAGGGACCAGGTGGGTCTGGCATGGTGGGGAAGGGTAGTGACAAGGTCGAATACAGCCCAAACTTTCCTCACACATCTGTACCACAAGGTGACGCGCCACGCGCAATGAGGAACTTGAGAGCTCATCTAGCATTGTACTCTGAATCAGTCAAAGAGAAAAGACATCGTTGCTGGATGGTTAACTTATCATGAAGTTGAAGCATACAGGACTTTCATGTTGCTGGCCCTACGGCCAAACCTCGCAGGTGCAGACCAATGGCCTCGATCTGTTTGAGAAAAGCAGAAAAGGCTTCGCCACTGATCGGTTATGGTTGATACGAGAAGGGGAGCATTTGAACAATTATGCGCCAACCACAGTAAATGTCTCGAACAGGGTCCACAAATCCCCGCATCATCAACGGTCTGGACATTGTTGCAAAACCCAACGTTGTTGAAGGATGCTGAATGACGTCTACCTTGCCCTTTGCGCCTGTTATTTTTACCTGGGACCCTTATCTTTTGCAACTCGACACGGTTGAGATACTCAAAGTTGCTTAGCCCGCCATGACAGGGAGGAATGCAGCCCGGCCTTTTACCGGATCCTCAGTGATATGATGTCATTGGGCAAGGCATTGCAACACCAGGCGCAATGAGTTGTGTATAACCCACAGAGGCAGAATCAGTGGGTTTGTTGTCTCAAAGATAAGAAGGGTGCAAACTCACTCTTTGCTGTTGTCACGACCGACGCGCGTACCTAGTACAGTTGTCGCGCTACGCAAGACAAGGCATCCTAGGACAGTTTTGACAGCGACCCCTATTGTCATCTCCACACTGGGCAAAAGTCTAAATTTGGGATGCATAAGCCGAGTGCTGGCGCTTCGACGTTCTAGGAAGACTGGCGTCTATCAACTCAGCCAAATGTTGGCCCTATGCCACGTCGATGAAGACACGTGACCAGCTTCATCCTTGCTCGTATCGCTTCACCGCCCGGCGATAAACAGGGCACCAGGGCATAATAGGAGTGTTGGCGAACGATCAGCTTAAGAGTCACAACTGGCACATTCTACACTTCAAATATCCCGGGGTTGCAGCCATTTACTGGTTGTTTACACACATACAATCACACCCTTCACACATTACATTTTCCTAACTCACTAGTCTACTTAAATACCGACCACTCCACTGCAGACCAACGCCATTGGTCCCTGCAGATTCCACCTTGCTTGGCGACAGCGAAGCGCACCGGATACCGGCATTACGTCATCGGCGACAGTTGAACACGCCAGACCCAGAAAAACCCACAGCAATGTGTTACCACAACTACAGCCAGCATAATGGCTGCGGGCACATTGGAGAGTCACATGAGCACCCGTGGACACTGTGTGACCGGGCCATCCAACGGCTGAACAACCTCCGCGGGCCGGGCTCTCCACCAGTCTCCCCACCAGCCACAGCGCCGCCCAAGCGCACTTCGTCAACACGACGTTTCTTTTCGTTGAGCGGCCAGCTCTCGCGGTCGAATACCAGTGCGTCGACGAGCTCCCGGCGGTCGGGTGCATCTGCGCCAAGGACGTCGGTTTCCAGCTCCGGCTCGTATACCTATACCGTTGAGCTAGACTACTCCACCCTGCCCGACCACCAACTCGCAGCTGTAAGATGCGCCGACCCAACACGCCGCACCTATGTCAGCAGAGGCATGGTCGTCTGCAAGGAGTGCGCCCGCTGGATCGAGGCCATGCGCAGCATGATTCAGTTTTACGACAAAAAGGGCAGTGTCCGGGGGACGGCTGCGTTTGAAAAGTTCCTCAAGTGGGAGGGCGAGGGCGGCGGCGAGCGAGAAGGCGATCTCACCGTCCCGCTTGACGACGGCGACGACGGAGCTGTCTACGGCGCCAGACAGGCCATTATTCTGGGGCACCCCGAGAGTGCCATGAACGCCGAGGGGCCAAGGGGTCTAGGCACGCTGGAACGAGAGATGGAAAGTCGATATCGATATTGAGAGAGTCTTCCGCACTAGGTTGCAACTTGCAAGAATTTTTGCGCGAGTAGTGTATGACTGAAGCATGTTGGGATCATGTAATTTAGTCGTGAGCTCTTTCTTTTTTGGGTGCGGTTATATGTAACTAGGTAGACAATCCTTACATCACACTCCGCATGACTGGTCCGGAAGGCTGGGCCCGTTCCTCGCGCTAATGATGAACGCAAGGATTCGAATGCAAGCACAGGTTGGTCGGACAAGAAAGACGTCGCATGTAATGCACCAATGATTTATTCTTGACCTGCAAGCAATCTATTCGTCAAACCTTATGTTCAGGTCAGCTTCGGGTGTTGTGCGTCTACTGAAAGCATTCCCTTCTCTCGCCAAACAACCAGAATGTTGAAAATCTCAAAATATACAGTACTTATCTACAAAGTGAGGAATTATACTAGCTTAGTACAGTACGAACAAAAAAGAAAGGTTATCCCACCATGAAAAAAACCCCCTTAGCTTAAGGTGATCGCCCAGATCCTGCAAACCAAATACATCGTGCGTACCCGCTCCACTCTCTCCCACACTCTTGTAGCCCGCCCCTCGCCACCTTCCATCTCGGCATCGCCCTCGATTCGTCAGCTTCCCAAAATTACCCTGTTCCGCTTACGTTTCTTATTCCAGTCCCTCGGGTCCGAAAATTACGAATATGGTGCGATATTGCCACGTCCCTCTTCCCCCTTCCGGCCTCTCCGTTCCCCCCCTTCACCAATCCTAATGTAGCGGCAGCCATGTAGTAAGTTAGTGTCTTTTTTCTCGGGTATGGTCTCCCTCTCTCTCTCTCTCTCTGTGTGTGGTCGTTATTGCACCGGTTTGGTTCGCCGATATGAGACCTATTTTCTACACCTGGGTGTGCCGGATTGCCGGAAGGGGAAGAATGTGGAGATTATGCCGGGAGGGGAAGGGGAAGGATGGTGTAACGTGACCTTTTTATAGCGGGTTTGAGTACGGGGAGCGATGTGAGTGGCTCGGAGGTCAAGTTTACAGTGTTTGATGGAGGAATGAAAGATTACTTTGTTGGGAAGTTGACGAGGGGGTTCATCGTGATCGTATGGTTAGCTTGTTATGCAGCTGCCCATTATAATATTTTTTTGAGGCTTCATGGTCCGCTCCAATGGCTGTGGGCTTGGTGGTTAGATTGTTGGGGCTGGATTACAGTGATGAGGGGGACACGAGTCAGACTCGCAGCTTTGGAGGTAGTTTGGATTTCCCCTGCTTTTTGAGTTCCTAATCTTACCTATACTGCTCTTTCCTGCGAAAACGAACTGTATCTTGAGATTCTTACACAGTCACTCCTCGACTGCTTCTGTGCCAAGACTGTCTTGGCATTGCCAAATAGCACTATGGACATAACACGGACAATGGAAATAAGCACAGAGAAGCCTGTTGCGCCCAGAAAGCGGGTACAAGAACCGTTTTCCAAGCATCTCCGAGGATGCCTCCGCTCCGATGATTATGTAATACAGTGATTTCCCCTTCAACCAATCATATCGCTTTCTCGTAACCACATCTCGAAGCGAATTTCCCAAAACGGTAATACTCAACGGGCGACTATCAGTTCCACAATCCTAGTGTCGCTCAAAACTTGCCTTTAATCTACACTTCTTCTCTTAGAATTACCTAAACCAGGGATTTGTGCTCGGTGGGCTGTTGTTCTCCGCGGCCCAACCAAAGTTTGTGTGCTCCTTGCTTGAAACCCATGTTCAGAACCACTCGTTCTGGTGGCGAGGCTGACACAGAAATGCAAGGGCAAAGCGATTGAGTAGGGAAAGCAAACCTATTGGTTCGGCGTTGTATGTGCAATGATCCACGCAACTTGTACAAAATTGCCCAAAGTTGACATACTCTGGGTAACTGACGCCACGTATAGAGCAACACTGCTCGTCAAGTCGTGGTATTGGCTCGGGCTCATGTCCGCAGACTTCGACGGTGATTTTCGAAGATACTTAATTGAGGTGGTTGAGGGATCATCATGTTTGAGAGATGAGGCCATTTTTTTGGTTCCGCGGTGCGAGTTTGGCGGTCCGCGCAGCAGTGTCGGATGGAATAAGTTCGGGTTACCGAAGGAACTCAACATGGGCCGTGTGGCAACGGGGCATAAACGGGGCTGGTATCTGTCCAAGTTCTCAAGCAGACATGATGGTTTCAAAGTCCACAAGTATAGGGGCAATGGGGACAGACTTGGTGTTGTACTCCTTGGTTGCAACAGTGCAACGCAGGACATGAGTCTGTCATAAACAGATGGTAGAACAGCGCCTTGAAGAGCTTAGCGTGTGATGAAAGTGTAATTTGGGCAGTCACTCCAAATGACCACTCGAATCAGTGCGCACAAATGCCTCAATTCACTCTTCACCCATTACCGCTTACAGCCTCACATCAATTCACCTTTCACTTTACTGCTCCATCGCACACATTTGGCTTTCACGACAAAAAATCAGTTACCACAAACACAATGCCTCTTCTCCTTACCCTCCATTCAAGCTACAGCTTCTCCCCACAGCGCTGACGCTCACCATCAAACACCCTGATACGAGCCTCAACGCCCATCTCGTCCCTTTTCACAAAGTACCTCAGTCAATCCGATAACAAACAACCCCCAATCTCGAACAACCGCCGCTCACCCATCGACGCCCTCCTACATGTACCACTCCAACCAAACGCGTCCCCGACTCACTCCCACACAAACATCCCCACAATGTGCAAAGAAACCGTCTCCCGCCACCGCCACTGCACGCACTCGCGCCTCCTAAACCGCACCTACTGCTCCCTCATCGAACCACCCTCCCCCTGCACCCCCACCGCCGCCCGCGCCTGTCCGCGCTACAAACAGCACCGCGAAAAACCCAGCGCAAAAACCCCATGTCTCGCCTGCAAGCGACAAGAGCGGATCCGCGAGATCCTAGCCGAGGAACAAGAAACGGCACGGAACGAGCTGCGGGCCGCGGGGTTCAGTGAGAAGAATGTCGAGATGATGATGGTGCCGCCGCCCACGGGGTTCGTGATGCCGCGCTTGTTTCCGAGGGGGAAGGGTGGCAAGATTATCGTTCATCCGTTGTTGAGACATGCGCAGCAAGGGAGGGTAGAGGGTGCTGGGGATACTGGGTTGACGCCCAAGAAGGTGGACTCGCGGAGTTCGGGGGGTAGCAGTGATAGTGGACTGCAGAAAGAGGTTGGGCAGGAGAAGAGCAAGAGCCCGGGTAGAAAGGGGTTCAAGAATTGGATTAAGGAGTTTCTGTTGGCGGGAGATGTGGAAGATGCGGTGAGTATCGGGTTCCCGAAGATGGATGCTTAGGTGTTGGTGGAATGGGTTGGGTAGAGGAAGAGGACATATACATCGGTGGGATATGATGACGATGAAGAAGTGGATCTGGGATACACAGTGGGTTGGATTATATGCGGTTGGGCGGGGCTCATTTCTCTCAATTTCTTATCATACTACGCGCGAGGCTCTATTACACTACGTACGAGTCCACACTATGACACGCGCGAGTCCTGGATGGATATTACTGCGTCCCCCCCAAAAAGAAAAACGACTACTACTCAAAAGAAAATATAACCAATCTACTCGTTCTGAATGAATAGCTTCGTCTCAAACCTCTCTCGCAACCTCTCATATCTCTGGACATCACCGACACTAGGTCGTACCGTTTTCGCTGCCTCGATAAAATCCAACTCCTCAATAGACTCACTACGCCGCCTGAAGGCATGCTGGCCCGCCTTACGCAGCAGACTCTCCAGATCGGCACCCGAAAAGTCTTTGCACACGTCCTGCCGCCCAATCTCGGCCAGTTCCGGGTTGATGACGCCGCGTTTACGAATGAGTGACTTGAGAATATCCACCCGTTCGCTAGGCTTGGGAAGTTCAACATAAAGGAGCGTTTCTAGACGGCCTGGACGTAACATAGCGTCGTCAATCATCTCTGGACGGTTGGTTGCGGCGATGAGATAGATACCGTCCCGCATGGAGAGGCCGTCAAGTTCCGTCAGGAGCGTATTAACGACGCGAGCAGAAGCTTCATGGAGTTCCGTGGAACGCTTCGGGACAAGTGCGTCAAGTTCGTCGAAGAAGATAACGCACGGAACAGATGAGCGGGCGCGCATGAAAACTTGGCGAAGTGCGCGTTCTGATTCTCCGACATACTGCAGACACAAGGTCAGTAAAGTGTGATCAAAGGATAGGGAATATTCGTTCAAATGACTGTCCAGTCTTTGTACTCACCTTGTTCAATAGCTCCGGTCCCTTGACGCTGATAAAGTTTGCCTTGGACTCGGCGGCCACGGCCTTGGCTAGAAGCGTCTTACCACAACCTGGCGGACCCCATAGCAATACTCCGGTGGGTGCTGAAATGCCAAATTTAGCGAATTTTGCCGGGTCCTTGATAGGTTCGCAAATAGCCATCTCGAGCTCCTCGCGGACACCCCCGAGCGCACCCACATCGCGCCATGTAGTGTCTGGTACTGTCGCGAAGCCCTCTCGTTTCGATGAAGGAGTAATCGTTGGCAGAACAGCCTCAAAGGCCTCCATTGAGATGACTGTGTCCTCGAAACCTTCGGGACGCGGAGCCTCTGTGTCCTTCACTCGCTGAATCAACCGTCGAATCGACTTGTTCATGAGCGCCTCCGAACTAGGAACCGCTTCGTTATCTATTTCCATGGCACCTTCTGTGCTGGCTGCTTGCTTTTCGAGTGCCAGACGATATTGATCCATCGACCAAGTTCCTGCTTTGCTCACAAGGTCTTTCAAATCTGCACCAACAAAACCGGCGGTCCGCTTTGCCAATACGTCGAAGTTAACATCTGGTGATAGCTTCGGTTCCCTTGTAAGAGCCTGAAGGATGGACTTGCGCATCGGTTCGCTCGGTACACCCATGTTGATTTCCGTGTCGAAACGTCCTCCACGTCGAAGTGCTGGGTCAAGACTGTCTGGGCGATTTGTTGCTGCCAGCACAATGACCGGCTTGCCATCGTTACCCTCCATAGCTAGACTGTCCATGGAGATGAGTAACTGGGCCACTATTCGCTTCTCCATCTGGCTTTGCGCACTGTCACGTTTTGGCGCGATTACGTCGATCTCATCGATAAAGATTAGACATGGCGCAACTTCTTTGGCCCTTTCGAAGTGTTCGCGAATCTGTTTTTCTGACTCGCCCGACATCCCGGATACGACAGAAGGACCAAGAATTTCAACGAATGGTACGCCCAGCTCGGCCGCAAAAGCCCTACTAATGACTGTTTTTCCGCATCCCGGTGGGCCATGGAGAAGTATGCCGCGAGGTATGGGAATTTTCCGATTGGCGTATTCCTGTGGACACAGCAACGGCAGCACCAAATGCTCTTTGAGCTGCCCTTTGACCTTTTCAACACCTCCAAGATCCTCCAAGGTCACGCCAGTAGGTGCTGAAATCTCGATTTTGCTCTCTTGGGCGGCTGCACGTTTTTGTCTCTTGCTATCGCGCTCCTCTTTTGACTTGCCGCTGTCCCTCTTTTTGCTCTTTTCACCATTAGTAGTGGATTTGGATGTAGGCCATTGTTTGACGATCTGGCGGTTCATCCAGTCACCAGAAATGTCTTTGGGCTCATCCATGGTGAAGTTTCCCTCGAGCTCAGCTAGTTCGTCTTCTTCATCGCCAGACTCATCCTCTCGGATCACGTCAATCACCCGATCAATAGAGTCTTCGAGCTGTTTCTTTGGCCGTCTTTTTAAGCTGGAGTTCGATTTCTGGATATATTCATATACTGTATGGACCCGCAGCTTCAGTGGTGATTCTCCTTTGTCGTCTAGATATTTCTGGACTACCTGGTAGACGTCCTTATCCAGGCCAGCTTGTAGGGTGGGCCGACCTTTGGACGGCATGAGCGTGTCAGTGTAGTGAGTGTAACTAGCAATAGGAGTGAACAATGGTCAATGACGATTGCGGTTGAAAATGGCTGTTGACGATGGTAGCTGAAGATAGCAGTTGGCAATAGTAGGAGATGGCGATTGGTAATGGCGATTGAAGATAGCTGCCGAAAATAGCCTTTGGTAATGGTGCTTGAGAATGGCGGTTGACAATAGTCGCTGACAATAGTCTCTGTTGATAGTTGTTACGACGGTGATTGCGAACAGCCTGGACGCGCATAAAATAATTCGCGGTTCTTATCGATAACACTAGCGCGAACCCTCTTTCCGCTCGAGGAAGTCAAGCAGGACACCTTTGTCATCCTTACCATAGAAGTAAACAGAGTCATGATACCCTTAACTACATTAAAATACCGCGCAATGACTCACACATAGACTCACCTTGGCCCAGACTCGCTGTCTTATTGCCATGCTATCTCGCTACCATGCTACTGCTGTTGTATTACTGCTCTTATCATTACTTGTACTGCTAATTCAACATGCAAGGTTTCTCCTTCTACAGAAGAATGCTTCGAGTCAGAGCGATTGCGTCTTATGTATAAGTCCAAGGTAAGAGACTCCCGTCGACTGAGTTGCTTCCTGTCATGTAGTGTCCCGACGGTATTGTGCTATATTAGGTTAGCGTTCATTGTTTTGGGCTTAGTGAATCGCCCATGGTATCGCGCTAACGGCCCATGATCGGGCGACCTGCCGGCACCAACCAAGGCATGGAGACCCGACTGCGAGGTCGCATGCGCACCTCCCAACACTCATGGAGACGTTGACAGCATGGGGAACTCAAATAGCGCTAACAAGATCTCTGCCCAGGACAAGTGAGTCACAGTCACATTTGTCGTAACTGATACTAATAAGACAGAGCGATCCTGGACATGAAGAACCAGCGGGACAAGCTGCGGCAGTACCAGAAGCGCATCACTATCCTTACCGACCGCGAGAAGGAGATCGCAAAGCAGTGTCTGGCGAAAGGCGACACAAAGAGTGCGAAGCTAGCGCTGAGAAGGAAGAAGTATCAAGAGTCGCTGTTATCCAAGACAGACTCGCAGCTGGCACAGCTGGAAGTCCTTACGAGCGATATTGAGTTCGCGCTTGTACAGAAAGATGTCCTGTACGGGTTGCAACAGGGAACTGCTGTGTTGAAGGAGATCCACAAAGAAATGGGTGGCATAGAGAATGTTGAGAAGCTTCTTGGGGAGAACGAAGAGGCTCGGGCGTATCAGGAGGTATTACTACCCAACTATCTCACCTTGTACTTCCATACTGATGCGCGCGCAACAGGAAATCAGCGAAATGCTTGCAAACAAAATGTCCAACCAAGACGAGGACGAAGTCGAAGACGAACTCGAGGCCCTCGAAGCCGAGGTTAACGGCACCAAGTTGGTTCTGCCTGACGCGCCTGAGGCACAGCCGCAATTTACACCAGAGGAAAAGGCGCAGATGGCAAAGGACCGGGCGGCACGGAGGGCAAGAGAACGGGCTGCTGAGCAGGCTTCGCAACCCATGTTGGCTTGATGAAATATACGATGATGTAGGCATGGCATTAGAGCGCGGCGTTTGGGTGTTTCTGAGCATCATATGGAGGATTCGGCGACACTACAGGTCCAACAACATTCCTGTACGCAAGTGTCTATTCAAAGACAAACCTATAGGTTGGTGGATGCGTTTACCACGTGCATAGAATCTTCGCGACAAGTCACGTTTATGAAGAATATCTTTTCGTTGCATGCGTTGCTGTTTCCTTTCCCCGCACACCTCTCTTGGCGATATGAAGAAAGACCAGGTTATATGAATAACGTCTCTGCTTGTGTCCATCTTCCCTTCCCAGTCTCCATAGCATCCGTGACAGTGACCAAAGCTTCGTCCAAGCTACCCCGCCCCCACCATCCACACCAGACCCGCATACATACAAACATCCACCAACGCGCACCCAAACATGTCGCACTCACATTCGCACTGTCACGACGAACATCACGACCACTCGCACGGCGACGGCCATGATCACAGTGATGACATCACACCCGCGCTCCAAAACATTCTCTACGAACAAATCGACTTCCCCAAGCTAGTCACGCTCAACGAAGATGAATCCAACAGCGGCCGCGCCATCTGCCAGAAAACATGGGCCCAGCGCCTAGATCCTGAGCCAGAGCTCAAATCCAGCGCCGACGAGCAACTTCTCATGACCGTCCCCTTCACGGGTCAAGTGCGCCTGCACAGCATCATCCTGCGTACCAGTCCCAGCGGCTCCTGCCCCAAAACCCTCAAAGTCTTCATCAACGAAGACGCCCTCGACTTCGAGACCGCCAGCGAGAAGGAACCCACCCAAGTGCTTGAAATCAGCCAGACAAGCGAAGTCCAGGAGATTCCAGTCAAGCGTGCAAAGTTTGGCACCACGAGGTGTCTAACACTGTTTTTCGAGGATAACTGGGGTGGCGAGGATGAGACGCGGATTAGCTATTTGGCGTTCAAGGGTGATTATATGAAGCTGAACAAGGAGGCGGTTAGTGTTATGTATGAGGCTGCGGCGAATCCGAGTGATCATAAGAATATTGTGGGTATTGGACAGGGTGTGGGGAGGAGTATTCAGTAAGCTGAGGTAGGTGACGGACTATGCAGTCAGCATACGGGCAAGGGAGTTGAAGGTTTGTCAAAGGATACCATCATGTAGCATCTATATCCTTGGGAACATGCCACTCACTACACAGCATGCCTGCATATTTTAACAAAACATTTGACATACTCGGCGTTTTTTCTTGTCGCTATTTCTCGTGGGTATCATACCATCATAGAATCCAAAATACAGAAAGATTCCAAACCTTCTTTTGCGCTCTTCCGCAGTTCTAACCACACTTGTGTCATTTCTCCTTTCCGCTCTGGACATCTCTTGTCTCAATTATCCTAGGATCCCTAAATCTCTGCTTTTTCTCTCTTTTGTACCAGCCGCATCACGTATGTTTCGTACTTCCCAATACCTCGCCATGCACTTTACTCCAATCAATCTTGCCGTCAATCTCCTCATCCACACGTCCTACAACTGCTACGCTATCACCGCGGATGATGTAGAGGCCCAAGGGAACTTCTTCACTGGGTACTTCCTCTTCTACTGGTCGGATAATGCGCTCGGTGGCTTCTTGGAGGACGAGGTTCATGCTGCCGTCGCAGGAGTGCAGGAGGCCGACCATTGTGCGTCCGTCGACTGTGAGGACGGATACGCGCTCTGGAATAGGATGTTAGTTTGTCTGCGCGGAATGAAGTGAGAGACAAAAAAAATCAAAGAGTCTCTCAATCCGGGGAAAGAACAGGGAACGTACTGTTTAGGTAGGCGTTCAGTGCCATTGTGAAGAGAGAAGATAAGTTGAGGTTTGGAGATATCCGAAGCTGATGTAGGGCGAGCGAACAGAGTATTGCTTCTGTGTTCTCGATTCCAGACAAATTTATCGTCTGACCTCTCCTTACTCGGCGCAAGAAAGCTCCACGAGAGGATCCGCAATCGCGTAGTCGAGCCGCTACTGAAAACGTCGAGCTGGAGCGAGCGGTCTGGCGGTCAAAATGCGCTGATATTCAAGGTCGAATATCCGCCGGAGGTACAGCTGAGAATATGAATGCGCTCGGGGTTTTCCAGGGGCTTGTAAGGAAAAAGAGCGTAGGGGCGTTGTCGGCCTTGCTGGAGACAGACAATGTACAAACAGCTCACAATGGAAGCTCGACTTTGGAAGAGTCCGTGCGCTTGGCCAATCAGCGTCGACTTCCTCCGCATGACCGGCGGCTTCACGAGGCAACGGGACGTACTCATGCAACTGCATCCATTAGTAACTGCCGGTTCAGTTACATTTGACATGTATGAAATTCAGAAAATCTCAGGTTCATAATTGAAATAAGTCATCATGACGTTACACTTCATTGTAAACTTTCTCACATCTTCATCTAAATCTCTAAAATCACCTGCAAGGCATGCATCGGGTGCTCGGATCCGGTTCCCGGTTGTGTTTTGCTGTCTCCCGAATTTATTACATACTCGGCAGGCGAATGTTTGCATTGAAGCCTGAGAAATTGGGCGTTCGGCGATAGTCACAGCGGCTGTCCATCAAGACCACCTTTACAGTTGATATCCTCATACCAGTCTTTCTAATCCCGACTAAGGATGCTGTACCAAGAAACTTTTCAGCAGTACCTATTTTTAAGTTTTGATCATGCATCTTTCAGCCATGTCTTATTAGATCAAGTTTGCATTGTAAATACAGAACATTGAAAAAACACCAAACCAAAGCCGAAGAACACAACAGAAGAATCGCAAAGATTTCTTTTACCAAATTCACCAACGGAAATCTGATTGACAGTATACAACCAGCCAACAAACTCGAAAACACAAACAACCGCAGAAATGTAGAGACGTTCCAAAACACTTCAATCATTCACCCACACAAGCACATACGAACAACAATCACCCAGGAAGAAACATGACGCTTCCAGATAGCAGACAAATACAAACCGTCATCTAGCTAAAAGTTAGCACCCCTCTCCTTCCTCTCTCCCCCATTACCCAGCACCCCACAACCATGTCCTGGCTCAGCAACCGCACCAACCCCCCCAACCCCAAACCCTTCCCCTCCCAACCCGCCTATCCCACAACCGCGCCTCACCCCGCCCTCCCCACCATCACCATCACCCCCACAAACCCACTAACCAACCTCCACCTCGTATCCCACGCCGAATGCATGCACCTCCTCAAAGCAGCCCGGATCTCGTACACGCACACGTACATGGCACTGAAGCAGCACGTGTACCATGATCTGGCGAGTGCATGCGGGACGGCACTGAATCAGCTGGAGAGTGTGGGGGAAGAGGGGGATTGGAAGGGCGTTATGATGCGGTTTGAGTGGAAGTGCGGGAAGTGTAGGGAGAGGGCGGCGATGTGAAGGGGTTATTAGCCCACCAGAAAGCCCCCAAAAAGAAGAAGAGGTGACGTTTTTTTTTCTGAATATTTCGGGCTGAGTAGTTGGATATATTGTATGGGGTTTGAAAGGGAACATAAAAGCACGGACTTCAGTTTGTTGGGGGGAAAGATAGGGATGGACATGATTTCCTTTCATTAGACTTATGGATTACTTTTTTACAAGATTTTCGGTCTTAGGGAATTATACACAATTCGTTACAAACATGCTTCAAGCAGTCCACTTGGTGGCAGAAGCAGCCCTCTTGCTCCACTGGTGGTTGCCCTTGCTATCTCCCTTCCTGTTCTTCTCCTCAAACAGCTTCTTGCTCAGCTGCTTGTACAGGAACTTGCCGTTGTTGTTGAAGTTGATGCTGTGGTCCGAGTCGGTGAAGTAGGTGTTTTGCATCTTCTCGGGGCTGACCATGTTCACCATGAGGAGATCGACGAGGGCAGCAGCGTTCTGGAAGTGGACGTTGTCGTCACCAGTACCGTGCTGGATTACAACACCACCCGCAATTTTCTTAAAGCCCGTGGCGTCGTGGACGCGGCTGCTGTTGTAGCCGTCGGGGTTGATTTCGGGGGTCTTCATGTAGCGCTCGGTGTAGAGGGAGTCGTAGAAGCGCCAGTCGCTGACGGGAGCGGTGATCATAGCGTAGCTGATGATTGGGTCACCGACTTCAACAACCTTGGAGGAGAGGTAACCGCCGTAGGACCAACCCCAGATACCAATGTGCTCGCTGTCAACCCAAGAGTTCTTAGCGAGTTCCTTGGCTGCCCAAATCTGATCTTCAGCCTCAAGTTGGCCAAGGTTGGACGCTACAGTTGAGCGGAAAGCACGGCCCTTGCGGCCAGTACCGCGGTTATCAACTGTGAGAGTGATGTACTCGAGCTCTGGGTCGGACGCAATGTAGGCCTTCCAGTTCAGCGAGCTGAACTGCTTGTGCACTTCCTTGGCGTTGGGTCCGCCGTATGGGATGAGGATGAGAGGGTACTTCTTGCTGGGGTCGAAGTTGGGTGGGAGACGAAGCATGGCATCGAGCGTGTAGCCCGATGGGTGCTCTAGGTCCAGGTATGTAATGTTGGGCAAGTTGTATTCCTGGAGCTTGTTGTACAGTGCGCTGTTGTTCACAATGGTACGGATGGGCTGGCTCGAGTTGAGCGAGTACAGTTCCTGGTATGGAACGTCGGGACCAGCATATCGTAGGACGTAGTAAGAGCCGCCGGACGAGAAAGAGCCAGTCCAGAAGGCAGCCTCCTTGTCATTGACAAGGGCAGTCTTCTTTCCAGAAAAGGTGACGGAGTACACGTGGGACTCGGTGCTGTGATGCTCGGTGGAAGTATAGTAGACCAGACCACGCTTGTAATCAACCTTGAGGATGGAGAGAACCTCCCACTCGCCGGAGGTGAGTGCAATTGGCTCTCCACCAGAGACTGGGAAGAGGTAGATGTGCGCCCAACCACTCTGGTCAGAAATATCAAGGTAGAACTCGGTGGAGTTGCCGGAAGTGACATTTCCAGCCTCAAGAGCACCGATGTAACGGATCTGCATCAAGTTCTCGAGCCATCCATCGGTGCCGTCACGCTCACGGGTGACCTTGGACGAGCCGGCCTCGACGTCAACAGTCACTAGCTTCTCCAGATCTTGAACACGGTTGTAGGCACGGTAGATGACCTTGCTGTGGCCCTCAGTCAGCCAGGCGACTTCACCAATGACGAGGTCGTCCTCGGGGAACGCATCGATTGGGATGTTTGAGACTTCTCCGGACTCAACCTCGAGCATGTTCAAAACGACAGTGGGATTCTTGGTGCCGACCTTGGGGTAGCGCAGCTCAAGCTCGTTAGGGTACACGGGCACGAACTCCGAGTCGTTGTCGATGTAGTATGGGATTCTGAATGAGCCAACTCCGGTCTCGTTGAAGCTCAGGAAAGCAATCCTGGTACCATCGGGAGAGTACCACAGAGTGTAGCGGTCGCCAAAGATCTCCTCTTCGTAAACCCAGTCGGGGACGGCGTTGAAGTAGTCTGGGCCGCCGTTCTCGGTGATTTGAGTAATGGTGCCATTTGTGCTGACATACAAGTTGTTTCCCTTGACGAAGGCGACTTGGGATGAGGAAACCGGGCTCCATTCAGCATACTGAATGTCGCCAGCTTGCTCGGGGTCCAGTGGCACAGACTCGCCAGTTGCGACGTCCATGATCAGGTAGTCGGCATAGTAAGAGTAGCGGTACTCCTTGGTGTAGTTGACAGCCCACATGACTTTGCTAGCATCGGGCGAGATGAAGAAGTCCCAGTAGTTTTCTGGGATCTTATCCGCAGAGATGAAGGTGGACGATTCACCCGTTGCGACATTCTCGAAAACAAGGTCTCCAGAAGCTGCTGGGTAGATGTAATCACCATCTTTGCCAGTTCCAACCCAGCTAAATGAGCGGGAACTAGCAGACAAGGACCCAGGGCTGGCGGTGGTCTCGTTGTAGGAGAGGCGCTTGGAGCCGTTGCCGAGAGGTTGGTGTGGCTTGCGGGCAGGCTCAATGGCCTGGATTAGCGGCAACACCGCTGCGAGGAGGGCGAAAGAACGCATGGTGAAGGAAAATACGAGGTCAGACCCCAGAACCTTTCAACAAAGAAGGTCGGTGATGGAAGCCCGCGCAGTAGCCCGGGGTGCACTGATGACGTCCTCGCACCACTTGGTCGTGTGAGCAACTTGTCGTGCAAGAAGACGAGACGAAAACGCCAAATCGACCGTGGTGTACAATATGGTAGTGCTGTGTTCTTATGTACTGTTGACGCGCAAATTGGTCTGATTGATGTTCGCATTCGAGCTTCCGCATTGAGCAGGTGTTAAGCGTCCCAAGGCCGACTGGTGTTTGCCAAGGAGCCCAAAGCAATCGGCCTGCCGGATAAACAAGGGCCCTAGGGGACGCCTGGTGTTGGCCACCTGGATTATCGGAGCGCCTTTACATTAGATAGGAAGGTGATCCAAAATCACCGCCATCTGCATCTTCCAACAGCTCACGGAACAGTCGGTACAGCCCTCCCCACGATCACGGCGCATAGCTGATAGGCCATGTCCCCTGCGGCCGTCTCCATATATTTCCGGGAAAACGTCGATAGAATGCTTGGTAACGCAGGGGCGGGTGAGTAGAGTAAGAGTGAAAGGTCTCTCTGGATTCTGGAAGGAATGCCAAGCCGCTGTCAGTACGCTAATCGCGTACCTTGCCCTTATCGCTCTTTGCCTCAGCTCTTCAAACGTCTACTTCCGACCTTCATCAGCTCTTGTTTGATTCTTGAATATCAATCCACTCGGATCCCGTCCGATTACTGGCAGAGAAACTACATCTGCAACGATGTGAACAAGTCGCACATCTCACGACGCTCTGAACGGCATTTGCGACCGATGGCGCGA